CTACAGTATTTACAGTATCTACAGTATTTACAGTATTTACAGTATCTACAGTACCTACAGTATTTACAGTATCTACAGTACCTACAGTACCTACAGTATTTACAGTATCTACAGTATCTACAGTGCCCACAGTACCTATAGTACCTACAGTACCTACCATACCTACAGTATCTACAGTACCTACAGTATCTACAGTACCTACATTATCTACAGTGTTTACAGTACGTACAGTACCTATAGTATCTACAGTACGTACAGTACCTACAGTATCTACAGTACCTAATATGGTCAGGGAATGTAAAGTTTGTGTACCAACAGTAACTGCATCAGTAGTGCAGCTGTGTACTGATGCAGAGATTAAATCTAGATACTTCTGGCTTCTAAGTCCTTGTACCAATAAAACCTGATACATTTAATCATTTCAGGTCAGCAGCAGGTTTGTTTTATACTCTGCAAACATGTCAGAAACATTCAGCATGGTTTAGGATGAAGAGAAGRTTCCCTCTCAACTCTTCCTGTTGTTCATGTGTTTTCCTGACACCTGGAGGTCAGCAGGAGAACTGCAGCAGCTTCACTTAAACAGCAACASAGAATTAAAGCTGTTAATCAAACCATATTTAAGGCAACAAAATGGTATTTTGTGTTATGCATAGAAGATTTAAATGTGAAAAACAATAGGTTGCCTTCAGGTCCAGGCCGCCCTTGAAAAAGAGATCTGAGATCTCAATGGGACATGCCTGGTTAAATAATGGAAAATAAATAAAATAAATAAATAAATAAATGTGAAGAAGGATTTAAAAGCATCATCTAATTTAAAGTTTCTCAGAACAAGTTGAATCATGGATCTTAGATTGTAATTTCTAATAGTAATAATCTGAATGTAAATATTAGTTTCTCACTAGTAATAAACGGATTGTGATTAGGAGAAGTTTTCATTGTATAAAATACTAACTATGATGTGATTATATGATGAAACAACCTGCCATACTTTGTGCCTCCTAGAAGGAATGAACAGGCAAAGATGAGTCTCAGGTTGAGTAGTCAGGACTATTCAATTGAATTGCTCCGGGGGCCACATTTACTGCAGGTCAGCAGCTCAGGGGCCGAACATCCAGCAACTATAGTTATTATGTAAATAAAACAAGTTTTATAAAGATCTGAAATAGTTTATTTTGCTGTATTTAATCATAAATACAACACAAAGAACCCTGTAAAAGTAGTGATAATTAAACATTATCAAAAACAAAAATAGCACGCTGTGCCTCCTGTTTGACACAAATATGTTGCCAAATTTTTAAACCTATTTTATTTTCACTTTCATCGTTTTATCTTCAACTGCTTGTAGCTTTAACTGTCTTGAGTGTTCATAGAAATAGTTTTTCCCAGCTTCTAGCTAAAATTCTGATGATTCTGTAGATACCAAACATATTATGTTACACTATGTGTAACTAAAAGAACTTAGAGTAATTAAAGTAGAAAACCGGGGGTTTGGGCTTAAGAGATGAATGAACCAATTGGCGGGCCGAACTTTGGTCACTCGCAGGCCGGATGTGGCCCGCAGGCCGCCAGTTGAATAGCACTGACGTAAGTCGAGATTTGAGAATGTTATTTATCGCCTCCAAGGGAGCAGAGGATGTCCACCATTACCCCTGGTTCTGGACCAGATCTCCTAATCCAGTCCATGTGAGCCCTAGTCCCTTCAGCTCCCCCTCTCAGGGTATAGTAGGTCCGATCCATCAGTGCCATGAGTTCTCCCGCTTTAAGCTCCCAGAAATCCTCTTCTCTGTCTGTCCTTCCAGCAAATTCTCCACATTCCTCGCAGACATCCGTTCACACAGACCTGAATTCTTTGTTGATCTGGTTTCTTTGTGTTGGTCTCACCACACGTTCTACATGATGGCACTAAAACTACTTCTTGGTCTTGGTTCTGCTGACTAGCTGTCAGCTCATCAGTTCAGTCTTAAATTAAACTAGTTTTTCAAAGTAAAACTGTTCAGTTATCTATCCACAGCAGGTAAGATATTATTTATAACCCTATTAAACTGGTTGAATTATCCCTTCACTGTTTCAGGAGGTTTATGTGTTCCTGTCGTATCGTTTGCTCCCTGCAGGGATTGAAAAGAAGTATGAATGTGCTAACTTTGGTGAGCAGGGGATCACGGTGGGCTGCTGGGACACCTACAGACACGACATCGACTGTCAGTGGGTGGACATCACCGACGTTAAACCCGGGGATTATATATTCCAGGTGAGTCGCCCCATCACTCCTCATCTGTCGTTCACTCAGCTTCCAGCCTCTGCCTTCAGCTCCAACATGTCCTCCCTCTGACAGATTATAATCAATCCAAACTACGAGGTGCCCGAGTCAGATTACACCAACAACATCACTAAATGCAGATGTCGCTACGACGGCCATCGTGTGTGGATGTACAGCTGCCATAATGGTGAGAACCAGCTGAGATTAGATCAGATTATTAAAAACAACTTCCTGAATGCTTCTTTAACACAGCAGATGTTAACATGCACAAAACACATTCAGTCAGAAATGAATCATTTTTCTTGTTAAAGTCTGAATATTAAAAGATAATTTTGTAGTTCTGCTTTCAGAGTCACATGTTTACATACACTAAGATTAATTTATGATGATGTCWTGCTGTGGAAAGTTTGAGTGAAGTGGAGGCTCACCTGTGGAGTAACCCCTCAAACATGCTTCTCTCTGAGGCATCAAGGGAAAATCTAAAGAGCTGGGTTTGTTTTGTACCTGCTGATGTGCACAAAGTGAATGAAGCRTGTTTGTGCTGCTCCTCTGCCAGGCGGCTCGCTGAGCGCTGAGACCGAGCAGACCTTCCCAGGCCTCCTCAACAACCAGGTGACCCACAGGTAAAGATGGACTCCAGGACAGGGGTTGGTCTTCTTCAAGGGAARCACCAGCAGAAGTTTACCAACCAGCTGCCCCCCACMCCCACCCCTTCAGACCAAACTTTAGATTTCAGGAGACTCAGGAAGTTGACCACCGTGAAGCTCTGAGCAGCTCTGTGACCCTGCAGCTTTATGGCAGGTGTGATGCAGCTGGACCGTGGGGGCGGAGCCTAAAGACCCATTCTGGAGTTAAAGACCTAGCATTCCTCGAGACACCTCTAATTCCAGTTGTAGACTAAGATGATCATGTGTTGAGAACTGACAGAGCTGTAGCTGCTGGACTCAGATCCCTAAAGTAATTTTTGTGACACCCCCACCACACACACACACACACACACACACACACACACACACACACACACACACACACACACACACACACACA